AGAAAGAAAGAAAGAAAGAAAGAAAGAAAGAAAGAAAGAAAGAAAGAGCGCGCGCGCTAGAAAGAGCGCGCGCGCTCGTGTGCTATGGACGGCTTACTGGGCTCTTGTCCTCCTCTTGTCCTTTGTGCTGGGCTCTGTGGCTGGGCCTTGTCCTCTTCTTGTCCTCCTTTTGTCCTTGCCTTGGCCGCGCCCCTGAACTCTGTGGCTGGGCTCTTGGGGTGTTGTCATCCTCTTGTCCTTGTCTTGGCCGCGCCCCTGAACTCTGTGGCTGGTCTCTGTGGCCCGGCTTACTGGAGAGGAGTGTGGCCGAACAAATAGCGATGTCAACGCCGACAAAAATTCATTGATGAAGCAGTTTGCTCTTGGGGTGAGAGTAGGGCGTACCAAGAAACCGATTTTTGAGTACTCTTGGTGTAAACGAATCGTTTTGAAGCTGTTTGGGTCTATGCTTGTATAATTTTCATGTCTTTCTGGCTTCATGTTTCGTCATCTCATCCTTGTTCTCTTTTGCGCGCGCGTGCGCGCACTGGTCCGATCCGTAGGGCGCACGTGGGCCCGTACACGAAGCCCAGGTCTGAGGTCACCCAGGTTGTTATAAGGAGGCTTGGCTCATCTGGTTGTTCCTGGTGTTTTTCCCGAATGCGTAGCGAAGGGTTCTCGTTTAACTCTGGGGGTCTGGGGGTAGAGTCTTGTTCGCGACCCGTTGCTTCTATGTTCGCAACCGTCCGCAACCGTTCGCAACCGTTCGCAACCGTTCGCAACCGTTCGCAACCGTTCGCAGTAGGACGCTAAGGCGCTGCCATTGGGGGAAGCTTTTGTAAGTGACTTTTCATGGATGTGTCACGTGTCAGTTTGCGACGCTATTCCATTGTGATTTGCATGAAAATGACATGTCGCGCAAGAAGCGTGATGCATTTCGCTGCACAGGCGCAGTGGTTTGAGAGATCCGCGGTTTACCGCGCAGTTCCATTGGGATTAGCGTTTGGAGAGTCGTGTTTTTGGGGTGTTGGATGTGGCCGTGCCATTGGGATTTGCGTTTCAGGGTGTGGCATCGAAGCTCTGTTTTCGTGACAAGTCTCAGCTGAAATGGCGATTTTGGTGGATGGGAGTGTGCTCAGAACGGGTCGAAATCATTCTAAACGTGTGGTGTGGTGCAAATTTTGTTGAAGCTCACGTGAGATGATCTTCTCACTTTTCGAGGCAGGCACAGTACTTTGTGCTGATTTTGAGGTGTGGAAGTGCGATTCTCGTGGCAGGCGCAGGAAATCGTGAGGTTGCGAGGTGTGACGGAGGTGACATTTCGTGGCAGGCGCAGTACTTTGTGCGCGTTAGACGTGTGGATGCGGAAAGATTCGTGGCAGGCGCAGGGAATCGTGAGGTCGTGAGTTGTGGTAGAGGTGAATGTCGCTGTCACATTGGGATTGGCGTGTGAGGGGGTATTGTTTGGAGGGGCTGGACTCGCGAAACTGCTTGGCAGGGCTGCGTGATGTGTGTGCTCCGATGGGTGTTTCCGCTTGACTTTTGGAGGAAGTCTCGTACGAAATCCTCGTTTTGCAGACTTTGACATGTGAGTTTTGGAGGAAGTCTCGTACGAAACGCTCGTTTTGGAGACTTGACACGTGACTTTTGGAGGAAGTCTCGTACGAAACGCTCGTTTTGGAGACTTGACGTGTGACTTTTGGAGGAAGTCTCGTACGAAGCGCTCGTTTTGGAGACTTGACGCGTGACTTTTGGAGAAAGTCTCGAACGAAACGCTCGTCTTGCGCAGCCTCGAAGCGTGACTTTTGGAGGACGTCTCGAAACGAAACGCTCGCAGGAGTGCTTCTAGTGTGCCACAAGAGTGTCCCACAAGAGTGTCCTACAAGAGTGTCCCACAGCCACAAGAGTGTCCCACAAGAGTGGTCCTACAAGAGTGTCCCAGAAGAGTGTCCCACAAGAGTGTCCTATAAGAGTGTCCCACAAGAGTGTCCTACAAGAGTGTCCCATAAGAGTTTCCTACAAGAGTGTCCCACAAGAGTGTCCCACAAGAATGTCCCACAAGAGTGTCCCACAAGAGTGTCCCACAAGAGTGTCCCACAAGAGTGTCCCACAAGAGCGTCCCACAAGAGTGGCCTACAAGTGTGTCCTACAAGAGTGTCCCACAAGAGTGTCCCACAAGAGTGTCCTATAAGAGTGTCCCACAAGAGTGTCCTACAAGAGTGTCCCACAAGAGTTTCCTACAAGAGTGTCCAACAAGAGTGTCCCACAAGAGTGTCCCACAAGAGTTTCCTACAAGAGTGTCACACCAGAGTGTCCCACAAGAGTGTCCCACAAAATTGGCCCACAAGAGTGTCCTACAAGAATGTCCTACAAGAGTGTCCCACAAGAGTGCCCCACAAGAGTGTCCTGCAAGAGTGTCTCACAAGAGTGTCCCACAAGAATGTCCGACAAGAGTGTCCCATAAGAGTGACCCACAAGAGTGTCCTATAAGAGTGTCCCACAAGAATGTCCGGCAAGAGTGTCCTACAAGAGTGTCCCATGTCCCACAAGAGTTTCCTACAAGACTGTCACAAGAGTGTCCCACAAGAGTGTCCTACAAGAGTATCCCACAAGAGTGTCCTACAAGAGTGTCCCACAAGAGTTTCCCTACAAGAGTGTCACACAAGAGTGTCCCACAAGAGTGTCCTACAAGAGTATCCCACAAGAGTATCCCACAAGAGTGTCCCACAAGAGTGTCCTACAAGAGTGTCCCACCAGAGTGTCCCACAAGAGTATCCCACAAGAGTTTCCTACAAGAGTGTCCCACAAGTGCCACAAGGAGTGTCCTACAAGAGTGTCGTGTAAGAGTGACCCACAAGAGTGTCCTACAAGAGTGTCTCACAAGAGAGTGTCCCATAAGAGTGCCCGACAAGAGTGTCCTACGAGAGTGTCCTACAAGAGTGTCGCGTAAGAGTGACCTACAAGAGTGTCCTACAAGAGTGTCTCACAAGAGAGTGTCCCATAAGAGTGCCCGACAAGAGTGTCCTACAAGAGTGTCCCACGAGAGTGTCCTACAAGAGTGTCCCACAAGAGTGTCCTACAAGAGTGCCTTTCAGGAGTGTCCTACAAGAGTGTCCTGTAAGAGTGTTCCACAAGAGTGTCCTACAAGAGTGACCCACAAGAGTATCCTACAAGAGTGTCCCAGAAGAGTGTCCCACAAGAGTGTCCTACAAGAGTGTCATTTGGACATATGTAGCTTTTCGAACGTGTTTGCGTTCGGGTTCGTGGGCTCCATCTTGTTTCATCGCAACTGCATACAGCTTGTCTGTCTTGCCTTCCTGTCATGTCCTCATCCGTTTGTCTTTTGCGCGCGCGTTAGTCTAAACCTTAGTTTTCCGCGCCTGGAGGCGTGTGTGTGAAACCCTTCAAGTCACAGGGAATCCTTTGATTGTGACGCTCCTGGGACATTGTCAGGGACGCCTGATGACGTACCTGCTTCAGTGATGACTTTCACTACCCACTGGGCCCGTTTTAATTACAACAAGAGTGCCAGCAGATGAGAGCGATCGTCGTCGCTTCGCCTGATGGATTCCGATTTTTGGCCTCCCAATGACTAGCAATGATCAGACCCCTTACATGATCTTCTCAGGAATATGGTTACCTAGGTCGCCGTGTGTGGGGAGTGGCTTTCAACTCAGTACGCAATATCTCGAGTGTGTGTACACCCTGGAGTCATGGGTGTTTTCGGGTTCCTGCAGATTTAGCAGGTGTGAGGACGGGACGGGGGCGCTTATCTCTGTACCTGCTGTAAACTCATATATAGTCAATGTGTATGGCTGCACTGAAAGATGAGCTAGAGTCTTGAAAACGTTTGGCTAAATGCCTCTGAGTCTTCGAAACCGTTTGGTTTTCCGCCTCATGAACAGTACTAGCGTAGTCGCTGCAGGCATGTTTTTGGAACTTTTCCCTGCACCCCTTTTTAGAGCTCTCCTCCCCTGTTTGCTTCATGTACCGGTTGTTTTACTCAGACCACTTTCTCACCTGGGTTTCGTCGGCATGAACATTCACACTGTATGTCCGCCTTTCCCAAGTCTGAGTGTGTGTGTGTGTGTGTGAAAATTTGGAATCAAAGGTCACCTTTTGGTGTCAAAAGCAGGGTGCGCTATGAAAATCTATTGGATGCAAGTTTGGACGCAAACTTCCATGCCTGCTTAATGTAATTGCTCCTCATTGTTTTTGCTCTTGAATTCAAGTATTACTTGCAATTCAATTCAAAAAGCTACAGTTGAATGTGGCGCTTGAATGTAACGAAATGTTGCACTTGACTTGAATGTAACTTATTAAACGCAAATGTTGCATTGGAAAGTACCTCAATGCAACTTGCGCTTGAATGTAACAAAATGTGACTTGCAGTTTTGAGTCTTGCCCTGTGTGAACCACGAGCGATGGCCCCCAACCTTGTAGGACGGTCTCCAACCTGGCCTTGAACCTACTAGCGAACGCTACTACTCTCCCCGTTTTACTCAGGTAAATTTTTAATCTAGGCCGCCGTGTGACGCGAGGCGTTCGTTTTCTGCGCAATATCCTCCTCATGAGAGCTTGGAGTGAGCCTGAAGAGTGCCCTCCGAAGAGTATCCTCCCTCCAGCCCGGGCAAGGGGGCCTTTGCGCAAAGGTAAGCTAAGACCTGATGACTTGGAGAGATTCTTGAGCAGGCTGAGGGCCATGAGCCCGCCATTTTGCAGACCGCAGTTCTCTCAACATCCAATGGGATCGGAAGCACTCTTGTCCGGGCCGTAGCTTGTGCGCAGGGGCGTGCAAATCAGGCGTAGGTGCGCTAGGTTTGGTACAATTAGGCTTGGGGCAGGATGGGGGGGGCCTCCTTTCCGGGCAGGATGGAGCGTACGCATATGCTTCTCATTGGGAGGCACGTGTGTGTGTATAGCGACAGGGGTAATCCCCCTCACCATTGGTGGATGGCCAATGAAGAGGCCAAGGGTGAGAGCGAGAGCTGTAAACTTACCTGCAACTTAGACTTTATTTTCTGAATTCAATTTTGAGTCTCTTTTGTGAATCTACTTGAAGGATGAAGGTTTTATCTTTTTCTTTTGGGTTGAGGTCAAGTCTGTCTTGTGATGTTTTCGTTGGACTGAACTGCGGAAACTGAACTAACTAACCTGCTAGCCATGGCCTCCAATTTTTGTGCAGTGGCCTCCAACCTAGATGCGATGGCTTCCAACCTACACTCCCTGTTGTATTTACCCTCACTAAGGCTGGTGGGTGGCAAGCCGCAACCAGTTCAGTACGCATTTCCCGCGTATTTATGTCCCGAGTGTTAACAGTGGATATGTGTGTGTCGTCACATGAGGGTGTGTGTCGGTTGACTGTTTAAAATACTGGATGATTCGGGACACGATGTTCATGTCTCTGGATGCAGTTCTCCGGAGGACTTTAGCCACGCGCTGCGCCGGGACATTGTGGCGCTTGCGGCGGAGAAACCTGCCACCGGGACGTGGAACCGGTCAGAACCGGTTGGAAGCGAGTGGAACCGGAATTGTCCAGCAATTCTGTTTTGTGAAGGGAGCAGCTGATATAGAGAAATTCCAAAATGCATTTCGCAGGATGTTGGGGGCCGGATATATAGAAGAATTACAGTAGATGTTTGATCCTTGGAGTGTGGCTTGGGAAGTGCCGATGGGCAAGATTGACATCTAGTCGATCGTGAAGGTCCCCAAGTTTGTTGGTACTCGAAAGGGTTGAGTCTCACCTTTCTTACATGTATATACTAACACTAAGCTGCAGCTGGGTTTGATTCGAAGGTAGTTTTTGGCAGATCCATCCTGTAGACAAGGCAAGCTGAGATCACCCTAGTTCCAAGGTCATTTGCAGTGATATGACAGAGGCCATGAAAGCGATTGACTGTGCAGGCCTGGTGTCCACAATTGGGCCGAAAATAGCCAGGGCCAGGGAGTGTCGGTCTGTCCAAGATATGACATTTGGATGAATCCCCTTGAGGGGCTTGTGGATGCTTCTAGCTTAGACATTCGTCCCCTATGCACCACAAGAATGCGATGTTCAATCATTTGTTTGGCTAGCTCGATGACTCAGATGGCACACCACCTGTTTGAGTGGAACCAGGTCTTGGACAAGCCCTTATGCCTTGGCTCAGTTTGAGCCTCGTACTTGTTGCTGTTCGGTGCCTGTTGGGCGAACGCAGGCACCGAGGATTTCGGTGCCTTCGTCAAAGCAGAGTTCGGCTGGGCGGGACAAAGCAATCGCACCTGCCGGCCCAGCGACACGGAGGCGAGGACGGACAGAGACTGGTGTGTCCCAAATACGGGACAGGCCATAAGGGAAGACCAGCTGAACCGCATGTGGCCTGGAGAAGTTTTTTTTTGCCACTCAGTTCTGCAGTTGGTTCCTTGTTAGCTTGTTTATTGGAAGAGCTTGTCCAGCCGATTCCTTTATCGTCACCCTGTGTGACTGCTGGGTGTGTCAGCACCTTGTGACTGCCTTCAAAAGACTGGATCATCAGGTCATTCCGGAATTCTTTACTGGGGACTCTTGATTCATAGAGCCCATATTGGAGAGGTTTAAATTTAAATGTTAAATGAGGGTGTTTTCTTCATCAACGAGGGTGTTTCAGAGTCATTCTGGGGACTTGATCGAATTGGTCCGCTTCGCTGTGACCGGATGCCTCGCCTCTTGAGGCCCAGCGAGGACACTTCGTGCGCTGGCTCTCGGCGCGTCTACGCGAGGGAACGGTGCTGGTGGAGTCGGTGCCTGCTCCGGCATTTGTTGTTTCTAATAGCTTCTTGTTCCTAGTAGTAAGGCGAGGAACCCCTAGTAGCGTCCTTGCTCCAATTGAGGGGGATTGCTTCAGAGAATGAATGGAGCATTGAATCACCCTTTGATGAGATAAGCCTGGAGAGTTGGGTTAGTAGTGGATGCGGACGGAGAGATCAGAAGCTGAGTTTTGCTGTGTCCACTGAGGAACGCCAGCGCATCCTGGACTTCTCAGTACAATTTGATGTCACTGCTGATCAAACCTCTATTTTTAGCAAGAAGCCTGGCCAGTCTTGGTATGAATTTGTGAGGAGAAAAGTTCGTTGCGGCTTTTTGAAGATTAGGTTTGGCCGGTTTGATAGGAAGCAGCTCCCTTCTCACATTGTTGCTGCTGAATGGCGCCATCTTTTAGAGAGACACCAAGGTAATATTAATTTGAGCCTGTTTCTTGTTGAAGGTGTCAGTCTTTAAGCTTTAGAGAACTGCACTTGTGGGGCTTAGGAACATTTTCCACACCAATGAGCGTGGGCATTTTCGGGCCACTGACCTGACTCCTGATGCTTGGGAGACAGCCTGGGTCGCTCGAAGACAACGTCATCCGGTGTTCCGATCGCTGAGTCAGATGCGATTCGTTTTCCGAAGTTCAACACGTCAATCCGCTTTGCGTTGCAACCCTGATGGAAAGCAGCAAAAGCTTGGACCAGAATGGGATAACATTACGGCCAGACTCAGGAAACCGTGGCCGTGATGGCGCAGGTGTAGTGTTGAAAGTTTTGATCTTCAACTAGCTGCGCTGGTTGTTTCTTGCCGCTTGTCGCCCTGTGGCTGGAACGATGAACCTGTCGGATTGGCTGTGCCGAGGCTGCGGCCCTGCCAATGGCTTCTGGCAAGGACGCGGTGGAACTTGCGCCTTAGACATTTATGTGAATGGGAGAACGTCGTGTCAAATCCGTTGTGAACTTGGCCCTCCCTTGCGTTGAACGAACGCGCTGGCCGTGTATTCTGTTTGCAGTTTTTGGGCTTTTGGACTTTGTTGTGGGCCCAAAGGATTTGTGCTTGGAATTGCCGCCATACCGCTGCAACTGCCCAGGCTGACTGGACTGCGGAATCCGTGGCACAGTGCGTGGGCACGGCACTTCAAGGAGCTGGTTACGTGGGACCCTGCGGTGTGGATGGTTTCCTCTACCGAGATCGTGGCAGGCGGGCCATGGCGGGCGAGGGTGTGTTGGCAGCGTGCCATGTGCGTGGCATTTACAATGGTTTAGCAACTAACAGGAGGTTCCTGTTGCCAGACAGTCTGCAAAACGTGCTTCTTTTGAAAGTCGGGTGCTTGCGTGATCAGTAGCACATAGGCTCCATGCTGTGAACGTTCGCCCCCTTCAAACTGTTTCAGTTCGACTTCCGTCTCCGGCCAGCGAGGATACACCTACAACCGGTCAGCGATGTGAACCCCCGGCATACCATGACGCGCCTGGCGGTGCAGGTGGCAAAACGCTGTCCCCAGGTGCGGATGCTCGAATTCCTGCCCGAGTCAACCAGGTTAGGCGAAGTAGACGACACGTGATCAATGTAGTCCTTGCGGCTTCCAGTACCAGACAACTCCAAATATATAACTGGCCCAGCAAGCAAGGCAGCCTTGCACACCAGAAAAAACACAAAAAACAACTTTTTCGGGACAAGCTTGGTTGCATTTATGGTCGGTGATAGTACAATTCGGCGGTAATTACTTGTTGTGTGAGACAACATTCTGGTGATGAACTTGTCAAACAACTCGTCACCGGGATTCCGAATTTTTTGCTTGTCCGCCTCCACACTGTCCCTCCCTCAGGGATGGCAACCGCGACAACTACGGATGCTGCCACGGCACACGGCGGAGGAACTTCGGTCGAGGCAGAGACATGAGGTTTTCGGACCTCTTTTGTCACAGGCACCGTGTGCAAAATGCAGCTGGTGTGGTAAAGTCTCCTTCCACAAGCAATGGGCCTTTCGCTCCCAGAGCTTGGATCCTTACCCACTATATAGCATGATTGAGCAAAGACCCATGCAACAACTGCACAACCTTTCTAAGCGGTGCGTCCGTGCCTCTGAAGAGTCTTCGCTGTTTCTTGAGTCATGCAACATCGTGCCACTGGTGTTGCTGTTGCGCAGTTTTGGCTGTCCACTGCCTGCAGAGCATGCGGAGAGGCTGCAGAACCGCCCGTGCTTGGACATGAGAGCAATGAGGGTTGAAGAATCCGTCCGCAGTTCTATTGTCGCATTGTGCGAATCCGTCCGACTTCTTGTCGTCGTTTGGTCATGTTTAGTCCATCTATGCGGGCGCAATGCTTACTTGTAGCAGTCTCCTGTGGACTTATCCGGACATTTTCCGGAAACATGGCTTGTGTACTGCATAAAGCAGGTATGGCCTCGAACCGGGGCTCTGTGCAATAGCGCTGACTCCTTTGGGCCATCCAAACAGCCGGCGCGGCATCACGGCTTTGCTGACTGGAGAGTCACTCAGGCAGATTCCTGAAGACTTCTGCGTGAAAGACTTCCGAAGCGTATCTCGAATGTCTGAATTTTCTTGTTTTCAAGTGGCTGAAAGTGGGCCTAGAAATTTCTCAGTCTTGGACTTGGAACCTCTAGGTAACAATTTAACCAACCTGACTTTAATTGTAAAGATATACTATATAAGGTATATAATGATATATATTAGCTAGAAGCCACTAGGGGCTCCTGGGAGCAAGGACGCTACTAGGGGCTCCTGGCCTTACTACTAGGAGCTAGAAGCTACTAGGTTGGAGGCCATTGCAACTAGTAGTATATATGTGATGTATATATATAATATTGCTTCAACGATTGATTCCATCGTTATCGTTCCATTGCACATGTGCTTGGCCCTTTAGCACCTCATCCTCGACCTCCACGTCCTTCACGTCCTCCACGTGGCAAAGCAGCAGTTCAGCGCTTCGAAGCTTTGCTCGGGGCGTTTTGCTGGAAGGCCAATTGACTTGGGGCTGCAAAGAGTTTGCATCGCACCCGTGACTAAAGAAGATGACTTAATATTGGTATCCATAACATCCACAACCAGGTTATGACTTGAATCTCTTGCGAACACTTGTGCTGCTACCCTGAGAGTTAACATCAATCTGTTGTTTGGGGAGCATTTCTGCTGACATTCGAAGAGGTGCAGTAGAACCCGCCAGGCTCTTTGGGTGCCAAATTGCGGCCGCCAAGCAGGGAACTGTACCGCCGTTTGCGGTCAGCTCCAGATTTGAGCTGTGCAGAGAAGGAGCTCCAGATTGTAGGGCATGGCCAGGGTTAGCTTCCGAAACCGCATCCTTACGCCTCATTGTTCCGCCATGCCATCGTAGCCACTCCTGCTGGTCGAACAAGTGCCCTCGAGGAGATGGACGTGGATTGGCCACGGCGTGACAAGGAGATCGACATTTGCCGAGGCGGGGAAGCTGAGGCCGCAGGGGGCCATGTTGATCACAGAGATCAGCTTGAGTCAAGTCTACAACTGGCTTTCTACAGCCTCTACACAAGATCTCAGATTAGTAGTTCTCGACCTACTCAAAGCAGCCGAAGAACAGACAGAGGGTGTTTGAATAGTCCCGGATCCTTTCCCCAACCAAGGAATGGACCATTCCCCTTGGGCCCCAAAATCAATGCCGCGACCGAACAATATCACTGCAGGTTTGAAGAGCGGCTACGATCGTCTCCCAAAGATGTCGCAGATCTTGGCCTCCACAAAGGCGACACCTGTGAGTATTTTTGTTGCAACACGGGGATGTGAGCTCGAGTTCAGATGGATTCCGTGGCTAAGCTGCTTGACTTTGTGGCTTGGGCTTGCTTTAATATAAAGGTGTCTAGCATCAAGGTTATGCACATGAAACAATCGATTGTGTTTTGAGTGCAGCCGAGCCTGCTACATTTTCGGCAGAAGAGCTCCTTTTGGTGCTTTTACCTTGTGTCCTGTTGGCTGTCAGGCCCAAATCCAATGCTTGCACAAGTTCGCAAATCACGACACCTGGTGGTGATTTTGATGATTTGTTCAACATAGCAGGCTTTGGGCTGGAATCCGACACTGCTTCCAACGGTGATGCGGCAGAACTACTGCTGTAACAAAATATCCAAGGGTGTGCTTAAGAGCATTTGGGATTTGACACTTTTGTCCAGGGCGATGAGGTTGTGTGATGTTCATTGTCTAGCGTTCTGTCGTGGCCATTCAAATATGCATTCCTCGAAGCAGCAGGAAAGATTTGTGTGATCATATCACCACGACGTCGACTTCAATCACAATTGTTCACCCAAGGAGCTTCAGGCCATCGAGATGTTTGCCTGGGCTTTGCTACGTTTCCCGGACGCACCGAAGGGATTGCGCTTGGGGCTGCTGCGGACTCTCGAGGAGGACAGGCTAGTCCAAGCTGTTTCTTGTCGCAAAGCAAATGCAGGTATTGGAACATTCCGCTAGGCCTTGATCAACCAACGCTTTTGGAATCTTTTGGTTGATGAGCATGTCTGCCAGGAACAGTCACACTGTCGCCTCTACTTGCAGCGTGCCCATGCTCTGGGCGCGACACATGGCTTGCCGCTAGGTGAGGCCCCTTTGTCAGGCAGGGCTCCTTTGTCCGCTGATGCTCCAGACCACATGTCCCAAGTGTTTAGGGCTCGAAAGTACTGATTCATTACCGCAGGTTTCGTGCATCCTTCTTTCAAGAGTCACCGGAGAGTCTTTAGCCACAACAGATAAATTGGTCGATGGGAGAACTCATGTCTTGGGAGGTGAGGGCTTCAAGAAGTGCATATTCTCTACGTAAAACTATAAACAGCCTCTTTGGATCTTCCTCATGGTCTTCACAGTTTTTGCCACTCTATAAGTCCTCACGTGTCTTCAGTGTTGGACCCTCTGGCCTGGTGCGGTCGGACAGAATCGGTTTAGCCTGCTCAGTGGCAGGCTACTTGTGGCAATGCCTTGATGCAGTTCGTCTTGCCGAAGAGCCGCTCATGTCGTTCCTTTGTGGAGTAGGCCAGAAAGTGCAAGAAAATCGTAGGAAATACGTGGACCGCGTACCAACATGTGCCAATGGCATGCAGCATGTGTTCTCAACGCACACACACACATACCCAAGCTATCCCGAGCTGCACTCTTGATCCAATGCTCATGTTGAGCTGCTTGACCGTTTGAGATTGCAGGTCTGACCTTCGAAGCGGCCAACTTGGATCACAGCCTCCACTACCGCAACGTCTTCCGCCAGGTGTCGGACCGCATTCCTCACGGCGCTCAACAAAAACTGCCCTCCGCGCGCGCGCCTAGCCAGGCTGGGGATCAAGAGACCGCTGAGGTGCTCCAGCGGGTCCATGACGAGGCTTTGGATTGCATGTCTTGGATGTGTCAGTTGATGATACTCCATGTTTTCTTCCCTAACTGTTCGTTAAGGGATGTGGCTGGTAGGCTGGTAGGCTGATACTGAGAAGCCAAACAGGGTAGGTGATACTCCAATCTCCAGTTCGCTTGAACACCTCTGCCCGGAACCTCTAGTGAGGGTTCCTCCTTCCACGTTGCAGGAAGTCCAACATGTGCGTTTGGCCAATGTCTGGTTGCGGCGCCTGGCGAACAGATCTGAGTCGGACTTGGAGCTCTATCAACGCCCGGGCTTCCCAGGTGAAGGGACTCCTTTTGGTTTCTGGTGGGATGGGACACCCATCGGGGTCAACACGTTACCTCAGTTCCCAAGGTGTCGAAGACATGCAAAGTCGCGCTTCGAATTTGAATTGCTCCTGTGCCTGCTGGACGCAAGGCTATGCTGTTCCACCAACCTTTGGCTTACACAAGGCAGGATTGGCAATCTTGCATGGATGATTCCTTGTGTGCTTCCTAGCTAAGCCCAGCTAAGCCTAGCCCTAGTGACCTTGTGTCCTTCCTTCACCAAACCCATGACAAACCCAAGACCTTCAATCCCAGGCACGCGGAAAAGGCTTCGCGGGCGCCGCCTCGCGCCGCTGCGCCGGGCTCTCGGAGGCCTTCGTGCATGCGGCCAAGGAAGCCAGGCCAGGGGGCGGAATAAATCTGAGAGATTGAGGGATTTTGAACTACTGTAGAAAAAGAAAGACTTTAAGGAATCTACTAGCGATGGCCTCCAGCCTAGAAGCGATGGCCTCCAACCTAATAGCTATGGCCTCCAACCTGGAAGCGATGGCCTCTAACCAAGTTGAAATAAACTTGCACATACTGTATACTGCACTAACATCTTATTCTTGTTGTTCTACAGTTTGCTGTTCCAATAGAAGAAGGGTGTCCTGTCCGATCTCTTGACATATACCTTGTGCTGAGGTTTTCTTTTTAGGAGGGCTAGAAGAACGATACCTTACCCCACCTCGCATGCCTGGCACGCCCGAAGACTGCCTATTGTTTTGTGCATTTTTTGGGTAGACTTCTTCGGGTTTGGGGTCGATGTCCCTGACCCAAAACCATCTGAAGAATCTGAAGTAAGTCTGGCTACTTTCCACTGGGAGAACTCGGTCACCCTGGAGGAGCCAGCGGAGTCCGCTGTCAGCTCCCGCCTGTGTGGCAGAAAAAAGGAGGGCCGTCTTGGCAGTGCTTGAATCACTCTCAGCAGCGGATGAAGATGCTCTCATTGGCCGAGGCTGTTTTTCTCTACGAGCCTACGAGCCTATCATTTCGAACTTAATGCAATTCATAGGCAATCGAAGTGTTGTCTCAGGGCCAAAGTTGGGACCCACCTTCAGCCCCTTCGACCCGATGCTTTTCCGGCAGATGCAGGTCAACCGGGTACACCGATACATGCTGACCTGGTTATAGGCTCAAGGCCGAAACGAACGCACCCCATTTGTCGAGCCGCGCTGTTTCAGGGCAGGCTTGGCGGGGGAAGGGGCCTGGGCGGCCATAAGGAGGATTTCGCGTTTTGGTCGGCCAGCCGCATGGCTGTCCAGGAACCTATCATCATGGGCTGCGGTGCCAGCGCCGAGGCCGGTGGAAAGGCCGTGAGTCGAAGACCCTGGCAGTTCCACGTCAGATGACAACTCCCCACAAGGGTCGAAGGTTTGAAGAAGAAGCCGGTGCTTCAAAGCCTTGAGGGTCTCGTCTTGTCCCAAGCTTCGTGCTTGCGCCAGTCCACACAGAAGAAGAAGCAGCCAACGACTCCTGAGGAGCAGAGCAATGTGAAGCAACGTGGAAAAGGAATGATCGTTGAAGCGCAAGGTTTCACACTTAACAGGATATCATCGGTGATCGTTCGTATTTATCCGGCAAGCAATGCCTAAACTTGAGCCAATTCAATTGTTTTGCCTGTCCTTCAAACAAGTTTGCATTTGGCATGCAAGACCAAGACAGCCAGTTTTTGTATCCGTCTTTGCAGGACCGTATCAAGGACAAGAAGGCCGCCAAGGTGGGTTGCCGCCTTCGTGTCCTTTATCGCGTAAGATTCACTGCATTCCGCTTTCAATTAGTTTGAAGATATCACTCTTAAGAAAGGTAGTCATGTCACAGGATGTTGTTTTGTTTTCTCAGCCCCAGTGGTCAGCCTCAGCCTCCCTTTGCCAGGATGAGAACAAGGCGTATCAGATGCAGTTACAGTTTCTAGAACATGTGCCGCTGATGAAGCGCCTGCCAAAGGCGCTGGGAGGGAGGGAAGGCGCAGGGGACGGTAGGCGCAGGTAGACTTGATGCAATTTCAAAAAGGATCTTGTTTCTGCAGGGCCTAAATCCAATCCTTAACGGTATCTGAAAGGTTTGTTTCAAACCTGGCTTATTTTGAGTATATAACTTGGGGGAAATCTTTATGGCAAATAACGCCCACAGTTGAACCCTCTGCAGCTAACTCTTGAGCCTGTCAATCTCGTCGCTGCGCAAGGACCAGCATCCATTGGTGGCCAGTGTCTGTGAGATGCACGACTACAAGAAGGGGGACTGATTTGGGAAGGGCCCGGTCTGATCTGCATGACTCCAGGATGTTCCAAGGTGATCCAAGGTGTCAAGTTACATGTTGAACGGTCCAAAGGTGTAAAATCATGAAGTCTTCTGGGTGCTGGACATGTCGCTAATGAGAACTCCTCCTACAGAAAGAACTATACTTCTTCCGGCAAGATGTTCAACAGTGAACAACATGGTGCCTCTAGCTTTTTGATGCGTGGAGATACTGCTTGTACCTACCAAGCACATTGTTCTCAAACTCCAAGCGCATGCAGGACACTATCTTCAAACAGGGTGACACCGGGCAAGAGTTCTTTGTGATCCGAACAGGGGAGGCCTCCGTCTTTGTGCGGAAGCCCTGTGGAAAGCTGCCGAAACTCAAGAAGTGTAACAATGAAGATAGTCCGTCCATTTGGGAACCGCAGGGCACAAAAGGGCGGAGTTTGCTTGAGAACCCAGTGCCGAATGGGCGCTCCTTGAAACCAGCCAAGCCCGATTCAGGGGCCCTTCGACGTCTTTCACCGTCTTTCGCAAACAGCTCCGGCCATCCAGGTCGCAGACGAGAAGGGCGTCCAGAAAAAGGTCGCCGGCCTCAAGGCAGGAGGGAGACTGCAGCTTGAGCATTTCTTTGAACTGAAATATGGGAAGGATAAAGACTGAAACTCTTCAGTTTGAGTTAAATGAGGTTTTCCATCTATCCAGAAAGAACGACGTGCAGATTACATCCGAACATCCCAGCTCAAACGGGTGCGCCGCCAAACCGTGGTGCCTTCGCGGCGCACCGACGCCCAGGCGGGCGACTACTTCGGTGAGAAAGCGCTGCTCCGTGCCTCGGCCATGGTTTCATAAGGCCGCCCTGGCCTCCAACCTAGTAACAAGTGCATCGCTACTAGTAACAAGTGCCACGCTACTAG